CTCAGAAAAAGTGAAGTTAAAAATACTTTAGAGCTCACCGTCAAAGTGGTCACTGTTCCTTTAAAATTCAAAAAGGCCTTCCCTTGAGTAAAGCCTTATCAGTTTTACTGAATTAATGTGTCCACAGGAGGGAAGAAACATGTTTCTGTGTTTGAGTGACAGCGCAGATGTCACCTGCAGCCTGCAAATGCAGAGGCTCATTCCTCAGAGCTCCCCTTATCTGTGACCAGCTGACGCTCCTGACCCCATAAGCCCCCTCATACAATCGTAGGTGCAAATCCCTACAACCTGAGCTTACCACAGCCACTGTGCAGTGCTCCTGGACACGATAACAGACAATTAGGGTTTATGTTGTTGGCAAAGTATGGAGGTTATTGAAGATGTAAAGGACAGCGAAAGGTATATTCCCCTTTTGTGTATGTTGCAGCTGCTCTTAGGAGACGAGAGCGAAGCCTGAAGGGGAAAATACCGACATGGTAACGCGATGGATCTTCCTCTGCCACCATATTTAATGTTCATACCATCCAGATTAATTAAGGGAAACCGATGAGGAATTCCTTTATAATTTACAATGGGATGCACACTCCTTTACCTTCCATCCCACATCTACACCATCGCCACATTTCCCCACGCATTCTGGGGATGCTGACCCCTCCTGAATAAACTTAGGTGTTGGGTGGTCAGAAAAGCATCAGCTCAGCAGTTCAGTGGGATAACTGAGATAGCATCAGGATGACAGCTCTCCACAGAAACCAGACAGCGATACGAAACAGGAAAGACACAACCCAGGCTCAGATAAGACAGCATCACAGATTAAAGGAATTGAGATAAACAGGTTTTTAAGTGACCCCAACATTTACGGGAGCAGAACATATCCCCCCGCAGACTGCTTCCGACTTAATCCCACTCTAATATCTCAAAGGTTAACAAAACACACGCTGCCACAATTAACTTGAAGCACATCGACTTGTTTCAGGGAAGAAATGAGCTTGCTGTGAGCATTAGCCAGGCCTGAGGCTTTCCCTTCTGTAACGTCTGATGGATTGAGACGTGGGAGGTGGTACTGCGTGAACCAGCACAAAGCTACACGGTGTGAATTGGTTTTGGCATCCATCAGAATGCCATTTGTGGTAAGGATCAGATCAGATGTCATGGGAAGTCTTCACTCAGAGGTGGTCAGGTGCTGGCACTGCTGCCCAGAGCTGTGGGTGTCCCATCCCTGTGGTGCCTGAAGCCATGGATGGGCGCTGAGCAGCCTGAGCTGGGGGGTGAGGGGTCTCCTCCAACCCAATCATGCTGTGATTCTATGATCCTATGATCAAGCCACTGCCAGCCACTAGCTGTTTAAGCAAGAGGAGCCTGGTTGAGATTTATGACCCTACTGCTGCTACTGAGCACTCTGGAAAGGAGTGTGACCAGACTAATGCCTGCCTCCCTGCTACCTGTTTGCTTCAAAGGACTCCCAGGAAATGCTCTGCCATGCAGCTTTCCTGCACTTCCACCCTCTCTGAGGATTCAGAGTGTGTGAGATCTCTAATTAACCAAATGCAATTAGCACTGAAGCACTCCGTTTTCAAGCATCTTCATTTTAACCTGAATGTACACAAAATAGCACCTCTCCTGCAAATGACTGGTAGCTTTAAGGTATGTGTGCACATATACACACAGCTGCAAGCACAAAAGGAGTATCTATCTAAAATGCATGGCAGATCTGGAGTGGAGAGACCCTTATTAATCTTTAGAAAGCAATCACTCTCATCAGTCAAGACTTGATCCTGCTGGGGGCTACACTTCTCCTCTTTAACCTAGTGATAGACACGTACAAATCTTCTTTTGATTTCAAGGGAAGTATTTATATTCACTATGTTAAGCATATGAAAGCTGGAAATCTCCCTCACTGCAAGGCTACAGCCTTATTTTTATTTGCATCTGACATCCCCTTCCTGGGGATGCACTGCACTGTACCAGCAGCTGCAGATCTGAATTTGGCCAATGCTTGAACAAGTTTCACTTCACCTGCACCACACAAGAGCATCTTCCCGTGTGTGTGGTTTCGGTGCTGTTAGTACAGGTGCTACACTTTCCATGCTGTCTACAAGGCTCTCTGTGATACACTGTGCCTGTGTGCCTGGCTGGGGGTTTTCAGCAATACCGACACGGTGCAAGCAGCAGCTTCAGGTCTGATCCATCTCAGAGTCTAACTTCTGCCTTCAGCTGTGCACGTGCAATTAATTCCCCACTGAACTTAATGGCCAATCTACATGCATGTGTAAGCAGCTTACTGCCAGTGTGCTTATTTTGGTGCTGAGCTGATCTGCACAGCTTTGTAACATCCTGGACGGGACATGGCAATCTCTTCATCATCTTCCACTCTGCCAGGTGTTCTCTGCTCCCAAAACTAGCTTTACTGGGCTGTTAAAACACAGAAGAGTAGGAGAGCAGTGCCCTGAATAATAGACTCTGGATGAGTGGCAGTCATAACAGCAGACAAGGGTGGTAGACTGCTATTAATTTATATTGTATGTTACTCTTTTTATTCCTTTTTTTTCTTCTTTTTCCAGACTTCCTCTATGCTCCAACCATCTATCAGTCTCCCAAGGTTTATACCAGTAACATCTTGAAAACTACTTTAAAGAAAATGGGCTCAATCTTCTCCTTGATCTACACGCAGAACACCGACATCAAGGCAGGGAGTCCCACATGTGGGATGAACATACAGAATATGCTGTTTCAGATGAAGTTTTGTGGCCATTAGGATCAGAAAGCCATGTGAGTTCTCTGTCTGTGTGAGTGGGTAGGAAAACCTTCAGATGTTCCATGATGCTGAACTTTTCTGATCTTTTTCAGGCCATGCCTAATTAGTACCAAACTCCGAAAGCACAAATTTAAGCCTGAATTATTTATCACATCATATTTATAAAATATACTGCAAAACACATCATGGGCCAGTTCACAACAACTAGAAATAAGATTAATCTTTTACCAATGCCACACTCCTTAATATGAAAATATAATTATCTAGCTGAAGAGTTTCTGAAATTACATACTTTCAAAGTAGCACGAGCAGAATTTATCCTTGTGTCTCGTGTTAAGCCAAGTGGAAAAAACATTGAATGCAGAATTGGCAAAACACATGTAGGCTCTGTCTGTCTATCAGCATTTCCAGTGCACACCTTACATGGTTCTGTCAACATCTCAGCTCCAACCTGGTCTCAAATGCAAATGTAATATTTTCCTCACAGAAACGTGATGCTGAAGAAGGGAGCTCCAGAACTGCAGGGACACACTGAAGGTTAAAGTGCTTCATTTACAGCAAGTGGCCAGCAAGTTAATACACAGTCACCTCACCCAGTACAGAAACCAAAAGAGGGGCACGTCACAGAACTCATTCTTACCTTTAGTTGGAGTAATTAGTAACTGCACTTGAAGTACAATTACAGATATGCACGTGCTGTGAGTGTGGAGTATATGTTCCAAATGCCTTGAGAAAAAGCCACAACTTCAGTCTGCAAAGTGTATCTGCACTTTCCTCTGAAATGCTACATATATAAAGATGTGCAATAAACCCATACACTAAATAAATAAGTATATATTAATTCTCTGTACTTTTCAAAACCATTTTTGCCCCTCTAAGAAACTCACAGTGACTACAGGAAAACCTATCAACTGTTTTTCTGGTGGTTATAAATAAAGCACAGTACAGTTTTAAAGCCTGACAGATGGATGTGATGGCAAAGAGGCTCAAGGAATGATGAATGCAGTTCATGAGTGAAGAACACAAGCTGGGGTGGGCTGTAGTGAGCTTACAGAACGTATTTTGTAGTGGGCAGAAAGCCCTTTCCAGGGATGCATGTTCACCATCTTTGAAAAGTAACTCTGTCGTAAAAGAAATTCATATTTTTGCAATTTATTTAATTCAAAAAGGATGTTTTTCATTTTAAAGTAAAAGCTTAATTTCGTTCCTTTTGCCTCATGCTTCTAAGAGCTGGGCTGTACAGTGAGTGATGATCTGTCCATCAGAAATGGAGGACGTGAATTAGTCTAAGGCATAACTGAAGATGTGAGGTAACAGCATTCCTGCTGCTGGCTGCCTGAGCCTGCCTTGCTCCATACATTCTTCCAACTTGTGTTTGTTTGAAAAACAATTAAATTTTCCAAATGAATGCTGTTAATACCAATGCATTTTTGACTAGCAGTGCTGCTGGTGGCTCTGCAGATATAGGCAAGAATATAAGCTTATTTCCCTCTAGGGACTCTCCAGAGAGCTAGGGGGAGATTAACTCGTATTTTAGGCAGCTAAGTGTGAAATATTGGTTGGATCAATAACATGGCCCCCTCTGCTGTTTATGTCAGCTGTCAAAAGCTAGCAAAGATCAGGATGGAGTCAAGTGCAGGGCTGTTCGTACTGAGCTCTCCTACCTGGACTTTCAGACTTCACTCAAGATTTCTCTCTGCCTCTGTGTAATCAAGAGAACTCTTTATCAAACCAGCATTAATCCGCTCTCCATCGCTACCATTCTGTGCAACAGGAAGCATGGGAAAAGGGCATAAAGACAACAGTTTGTGACAAACTGGTTTGTATGATGGAGCAGCTGTAGTGACTCTCAGCATCCAGACGGCACCTATCTGCATCTCGCGTACAACGGCCACAGGATTCATTATGGCACCGAAACCCCTGTGGAAAAGGTCATTCAAGGAGAAAAACACTGCAGGATTTCCATACAATCTGCATCCCTCCCGAGCATTCTCGTTACAGAAGGCTAACATCTGGCTCCAGGTTTGGAGCCATCTTCAACTAATTTGAATACAAATTTAATAAATGCCAATTTCTGTCACCATCACGAGTGATTTAAATGCGGGTAAATTCAGCTGAGCTTGTCTCAGCCTATTACCTAAGAGTTTGCAGTCAGAAATTCAGCGCTATGACTGATGCATTAGCAATAAACAAAGAAACAAACAAACAGAAATATTCCCAAGTTTTATAGAGTTGCTCATTTTACCTGTCCAGCCAGCAAGGCAGCAGCAGTAACCGGTGACGGGATCGCACCCATCTGCGTGGTTACAGTCACAACGTTCACTGCAATTAAGACCATATGTTCCATCCTTCCAAAAATATAAATAAAAGTCTCTCAGTAATCAGTTTTTTTTGCTGTAAAATGTGCAAAATCATCTATCATGTCCCTTTTAATGCTGAGTCGCATTTTTTAAATTAACATACAGAGAAAATAGAAACAACTTAGTGCCTAAAATTTCTACAGAGAACCAAATGAGGAATCACTTTAAAAAATGATGCTCCAGAAAATGCAGATAACGCTGCAATAGCTCTGATAAAATATAGTGCAAAAGGTAATACATCGACTCGATTGCTCAAACCACAATCTGTCATTTATACATGATTTCCTACAGATATCCACAGACAAAATGAGATACTGAGCCTGTGTGATTAGCAGAGCTATGTGGACTATGGTTTAAAAGGGGATGTGAGACCATCCTGGTTACACTTACAGGGCATGGCTGGTCACAGTAGTCCCCCTGCCAGCCAGGGGAGCACAGACAGAAGCCATCAGCTGGCCTGCAGGCTGCTCCATTTGTGCAGTAACACGTCTGGTTACAGTTAAAACCCCAACTTCCACTTGAACATGGAATAGAGCAATCCACTCCTTGCCATCCTGCAGAAAGTTCGGAGAGAGAAAGATTTAGGCACATTTGCACAGAAAAGGTAATATTTCTTTACATAACAAGATTTAAAACTCTCTGCAAAGGTGTCATGCATGTTTTCCAGGCAAATCTAGTGCCTTTTTCCTGCACAGCACAGAAAAAAGAGACAAGAGAGGCGCCTTGTGAACTGCAGCTCTTTGATTCTAGGAGCCGGTTTCCTCCTGCTCTTAGGGTAAATTAAGACACCAACCATGGGGTCAAAGATTGGCTCTTTGATTATGACCTCCCAGCTTCCTCTGCCAACATCCATAGGTGGAGAAGGGCAGTGCAGATATCTCTGTGTGGCTGTTTGCCAGGTGGCTGTGTCTGATATCTCTTCAGGAGCTGCTCAGGCAGCAAGAGAGCACAGCAACGTCTGCTGGAGACTTGCTGAATGCAAGTCACTTGCCATTCGATGCTGTTTGTTTCTTTCTTACCTCGTATTTTTTTGAGAAGGCTCTTTAATATAAAGAGGCTATTACACACACACACACACACACACACAAAGAAAAAAAAAAGACCAAGACCATCATTTCTAACCATTAAGGCTCAAGTCTTAACGACCAACCCCACAATGGCTTTCATTACACTGCAGCTGCATGTAATGGAGTTGAGCAGTAACTCATGGTTTATACGCCCTCATTAAATGGGGCTCTACAGTGATTCATTAATTCATGTTTGAAATGCCAGATTTTACTGCTGTTTGCCTCACTTCTGTTTTAGGGCTTATGCGTGCTATATAAGATAGTTCATGTCGGTGTGCTGGGGGAAGACACCACTGCACATGGAACACCAGAGATTCCATGTTCCGGAGCGTGCAAGATCTCCTAAGTGGAAATAAGGGTCACTACCAAGCACGTATAGGAATTATGGACATATACGTGGCACAAAAATTGGTGATTCTTGCAATCTCCAGAACAGACAAGACTTCATGTTTCTCCAGACAAAGGACAGCCATGTCCTCAGCTGGGCAGAGGTCACTTGCACATGGGTGAGCCGTCACCATGACCAGAGGATGGCAACCAGCCAGGTGCAGCCCACTGACAGTTCACTGGGCTGAAGGAAAGGCAGGCAGGAGGCTGTTCCTTCTCAAAAAAATCACACTGCAAAACCCCTGTTTGGTGATTGCTTCACATTTCCTTTAGAAAGAAGCTGTGTCCTTGCAGGCACACCTCATTCTGGGGTCTGCTCCTGCAGCACTGCAGTTAAGCCTGGCCCTCGGTCAGGGCAGAGACAAAACATACAGTCAGGCCCTTGTTGAGTTTTGTTCCTGGGGCAGGGCTCTGAATTACCAACAGGCACAAATAAATAGCGGAGTTACTGACTGCACAGCTGTGCCACGTTAGAAGGGGAGAAGCACTGATGCCAAATTGTAGGCGACTGTTAAACGCGAATTTTGTTTACCTTCTTTGCAAATGCACAGACCATCGACGGGGGAACACGCACCATCATTTCTGCAATTACAAACTGATGAGCAATTGGTACCATAGGTTCCTGCCATGCAGGTAATGGTGCAGTCATCTCCCTGCAAACCAGAAAAAACAGAGTCAGCTAAAGAAATCTGAATTCAGGAAATTCCCATCTCTGCACAGGGAGGCTTTCTCTTCCGAAACAGTGAGCAGAGTGTTATGAGTTGATTGCTGAATCTTCAGCACTTTCAGCAGTCAGTGCGGCTTCCCGTGATTATGATGCAATTAGTGCTTTGATTGACTTGGAGGAAAGGGACAAGTTTCTGGCGTTCATTCAGCAGGAGGTGTGTAAGTTACAAAAACAAACCTCCTAGAACAGATGTTGGATCATTAAGCAAAACATCACTTATGAAACACTAATCACAAAATATACAGTCTGAAACCGTGCAAAGATTGTTCTGCATTTCCTGGAAAATATATTCTAAGAACATGGCTGTTTAAAAGCTAAAGGATCTGCTGCGTGCTCATCTTCCACAGCCTGGCAGAGAGGAAAACTTACATGGCACGTGGATGAGACCTTTGTGGTGCATAGCTGGTATGTACATCTGTTTTCGGCTAATTTGCATGAGATGGTGACACTGGGAAGAATGCTGAACAAGGTGTGATGCACATGTCAGAGAGAGGAAGCACGCAGAGCAAAAGATAAAATCCGTCTCTGTCCCATTTCTGCTTTAGGTGTGAGGCAAGGGAGGAAAAGGAGGATAAAAACTTACATGTTACAGAAATACAGAAAATGTCATCAGTAAATTATGGCTGTATGTACTGATTACCTCCTGTGGCTGAAAGCAGAGGTGCATTTCTTTACCAGTGTCATTCATCTGATGGAACAAGGGAGTTAAAATGTGATACGACCCCTTCAGCCCTGAATATATATACAGACAATATACACTGAGTCCCATCGTCTGGCCAACAAATGTTAGCATATGTAAGGTATTTTTACTCCACTTTCTTCAGTTTGTAGTCTTGACTTCCACAGCACAAATGAGCTCCTATATTTATTTCTCCAGTGAGTTAAAGTGTAATAATTTAGTCTTATGTCAGAGAGAGCTACCCTGCTCCAAAGTTAAATAGTAACTACATTGCAGAGTGTGACCTATATCATAGCTCAAGGGAAAAAATACTGGTCAAAATGTATTTTTTGCAGGTGAGAGGCTTCGCTGTGTGATAGGAACATCCATTTTTCAGGAGATAAAAGCGCAAAATGTCAGCTTCCCTATGCCATGGCAAGTACCTCCAGCACCCGTACATCACAGCACCAGACACTGAGATGTTAACAGGAAACAGCAGCAGATTTCTGAGCACCACAAACCCATGTGCTTGTTGCAGCAGCTCTGTGTGGCACCAGTAGACTCTTCCTATTTTATACTAAAAACTTTGCTTTAGGGAGAAGTAAATGAAATGGTTAAAATATGGACTGCTCAGAAGTAAATCCTGTAAGCCCCTGATTTTTGAGTGAAAGCAATGTTTGTAAAAGATGCTGTCTTTGACCTTGGTGGAGTAAAACAAGTTCCCCTGGAAAGGACTGGCTCTAAAAGGTGCCGTCTTGACAGCCAGAAAATCCGAAGCACGCTGCCCCTCATTACCCTGCCAGCATGCCTACAGAATGAGCTACAGGAACCCAGCGCGAGTGGGATGGCAGAGGGGCATTCAGCCTCCACGCCTAATCAATCCTAAGCCTTTCTCCTATGTGTGACAATTAGACAGCCAATTAGTGCCACTTAGAAAGCTGTATCTTGTGCAAATGGAACTCCCAACTCATTTCATGTACAGCACAGGACTGCTGGCACTGCTGTAATTTCTATGACAACTGACCCTACCTGGATTTGAACTAGTGATCTAGGAGTAAAAGAAAATGTCTTTGAAAAGGAAAGCAGCTCAGAGTGGTGTGGAATGAACACATTCCCTTGGGAGCCAGATTGACTGAGACAGCAGATCCGAGCCATGGGAGGCACAGAACCAGGGCTTCCAGCTGGCCAGTGGGTTCTGTGGGTGTCCCAGCATGGTGCAGGCAGGAACATCCTGGCCATGGGCACGGCAGATTCCCCTGTTTCTGTACACTTACTCTGCACAGAGGACACGCAGACAGGTGAGACAAGTCATCCATGCAGAAGGAACGGTTCCGTATACAGGATAAGCATCGGGATGTTTCTTCCCAACTCAAAACACATCTGAGTTTTGGCACCTACTTTAATGCACTGTACTTAATGGACTACCTGAGGCTGGTCATTCTGGCTGTCCACCCTATGCCCTCAGCTTGCAAACAAACCTAAACGGACAACATAACTGGCTTAATGAGATTGCTGTCTCTAGGCTCGACAAGTGAGACCTTCAGAACTGTCTGAGTGACAACTGCCAAACATACTTAACTTCCTAATTACATAAGAGGAAAATGCACTTGAACTATAGCACTGGCTCTAAGATTTTATTAATTATAAATGCACACCCTGTTATTAACATTTTGAACTTGATTTGGGAGAATGACCTATGAAATTAAATGCATTCAGGTACCGTTAAAGATATGTAAATTCCACCTCCCTCTCACCACCTGCCCAAGTGAATAATGCTGCAGTATCTGTCTATCCAGCTGTTAATGAGTTATATATTCCATTAAAGTGATTTTAAACGTTGTGCACTGAATCTTCAATCTTGCAATATGGTACTTTATATTTCTATCCTATTTAGTAAAATTAATCAACAGCTGTGCTTCTTAAGTTGATTATTCGTTTTTTTCTATTAAGATTGGGAGGTTAATGAGAGCAGTGAAATGTCTGGATGTGGTATACATGATAGCAAGGAGAAGCTAATTCAATCAAACATATACCCCTGAAAATGTTAAGGCTATATTAAGAAATCCAGCTATAAATAACTTGATATTTCACATCTCTATTTTCCAAGTCAGAATGATCCATATGGACATCACAGACTTTCAACAGTGCTTCATTTCTTTCAGCATTTTTCCTTATCACGTCCAGTTTATCAAAATATATCCCTGATATATATGTATATATACATACCTCCAGTATATTACCTCCTGATTTCAGTGGCCAAATAAGACTCAATTTGAGGAAAAATTCCCATTTACTGGGTGCTGCATCAGGGCCATTTCTAGGAAATGCCCCCCTCCTTGTGTAGAGCAGCATACTCCTGCCCTCTTCTTAGCATCCAAACCCATTGGATGGCATCTCAGCTCAACCAAAGACAAAGTATGCCTTACCTCCACACAATTGCTCGGAAGTTAATAGGAGTGAGCCTTTCCCTGTTGGAAATCCATATCTGATGGGGGTACTCTAACCTGGCAAAGATACAAGTGGGGATCTGTGGTCCCAGGGACCCTAAAAGCACAGCTTTAAATCAAAATGAATGGCACCAATAATGTAACTGATGCCACCTCTGTGACCTTTCATAGCTTTAAGTACTTCAGAAATATTAACAAATTGATGCTGAAACTAAATGACAAACTTTTGTGGTATCAGGAGAGGTTTGGGCATACAATTCTTGTTATTGTTAATTCTCCCCTATGCATTGAGGGTTAGGTCCAAGGAACCAAACTCCATTAATAACACAGTCTGCCAGCTCACATCCATCAGCATCAAATATTAATAGACTCATGAGGCCCAGAGCATACATCTTTCCAGATGGCAGTCAATAATATGTCTTGTTTCTGTTCAGGCAGAGGTGAAGATTTTCTTCCTCAGAAATTATTATTGTACAGTATTAGTGGAGCTTAAAGACACACTGCTGCCTTAGGTGTTGGCTGTGTTAACAAGCCCTGGCCACTTCAGAAAGTGTTTCCACTGGATTAATGTTGCCCTAACAACATTACCAGTAAGGATCAGATTGCTTGTTTCTGTTAGACACACACTCCTCCTGCAAACAACGGCCAATTATCTTTAAAATTCTTTTCTGTTCCTCAATAACAAAGCTTGTATGTACTCCTGTACATTTTGGATCGGGCCTTTAAAGCCTTAAAATGCATTATAAAAGGAAAAGGATGGAATTTCAGACTGTAAGAGTAGTTAATAATCCAGCAGTGGTCAACAGCACCCAGCAAAGCCTGCAGCCATGCCTGGTCCCTCTGAAAGTCTGACCCTCTAAGGACATTAAATTAAGAATTTCAGAAGTAGCTGCAATCTACAGGAATAAATTTGCCTTGGAGGGCTAAAAGCTGGTTCCACTGAAGTCAGAGGCAAAACAGAAAATCAATTTTTCAAGGCCTCTGCAATGCAGAAGACTAACAGGACTGCTATTGAACTTGGCGTCAAGTTTGCATGATAAAGACCTCTGCGACAGGTTGGGCTGAGTGTTCTTAAAGTTTAATCTATGGAGGTGCTGCAAACTCTTGGCACCTCTGCAGAATATTGGAGGGGGCTGGCAACAGCAAAAGGCAACACTGGAAATTCTGGTAAACTGGAAAGGGACTCCACGTGGTCCGAGGTTTTAATGTGGTATCTGACCTGCTCTTCCCTTGCCTTGCTCTGTGCCAGGTGAATTAGCACTGCCACCTGCAGCAGGGCGAGCTCAGCGCTTGCAGCTCGCAGTGATGGAATGGAATGGGGACGGGCACAGCTGTATGCATGCGCCCGTAAACAGATCAGAGAGAAAAACAAGGCAGGTGCTGGTTGTGCCTGATGTCTGTGTGTCCTGATAAGCTGATCTGTATGGACTTAGTACCTGAAAGCACATATTTGTATGTACACATGGAACGTGGCACACCGGTGTGCTGGTACAGCGTCTGTGCACCGGTGCAGGTCACAGATACACTTCTGTATATTTACTTATTTAATTGTGACATTTACCATTAACCCAACATAACTCCACAAACATTCCCTCAAGGTAAACATATGGTATCCAGCAGCACAAACTGGCAGAACAAACTAATTTCCCTAATGGTGTTCCAGTGCAAATTAAACGTGTTCGTCATAAGTGTACCAGCAGCAGTAGGAAACTTTGTAGTTTTACTGGTCTTCTCCTCTACCCTCAGCTCAAGCAATTTATTCGTGACCTTACTACAGAGCATCTTTGGTTTTCAGACATAATGATGTCCTCTGGCAGAATT